ATTTGTAGCACAAAAAATATATTACAAAATTATTTAACCGATGGATTTAATACAATTAATTTGGTGTTATAAATATTGCTTCAACTTTGTATAATTAGAGAATTTCTGCTGGCTTTGCTTCACCTTACAAATATAATTAGAGAAACATGCTTAATTAGTCGTCTTTGCTCAAGCCAGATATAAGGTTCACACTGGAATTGTGCACATACATAATGGGTCCTCATGCGCAATTGTATTTATGGCTGTGATTATACATATTTGGCTAATGGGTGTGCTGTAGATATCAATACACTACTTAAATTATAGATGGACCGTAAGTGACAGCGGCTGTGAAATCAGCTTCCATTTTCGCATACGACTCCTTAAGAGACCCGTATGAAAAATCGATTTTCACAGATGAGTCTCATAAGGACGAGGACGAGGGCAAGCGATGGCGGCGGCGCCGCCGCATGGATCTGGCTGATGCCGGCGGTGGGCATTTTGGGTTTTTTGATTTTTTTGGTGATATTTTTGTTTTTGCATGCGGTCGGGTTAAGGACCCGCGGCCGGCCAAATGCAAAAATCAGTTTTAGTAGCATTTAGAAACCGAATCTGTAGTTATATTTTATATTCTGAGAAACCGAATCTGTAGTTATAGAACAAAAAGCTCCCTCATTTTTTTAAGCTATTTTTTTCTAGATTCTATTGATTCTCTTGATTTTAATCAGCTGCTTTTAAGAATTTAAAGCCAGACATACCATGTTTCCCATGTCGTATATCTCACGTACGTATAAGTTTATTTTGTCACGTTTGGATTCCTTTGATCCTATGGCACCTTAATTAATTAGCATCAACTGTTGATGCTTAGCATTGGAAGTACCTTGACAATATATTACACCCATTGCAGTGGAGGGTGCTAATTTAATTTCTTGTAGCTACAGGAATGTCTCCTCAAACTGCTTATTTCATATGACTTCAATATATGCTCCTTGTTAGACAATAAGAACATAGCAAATGTTGTGCAATTTTGTTACATATTATGATATGGAATGGATTCACAAGAGGCATTATTTTTTCTTCATAAAGACGGAATATTTTAAATTCAGATAAATAAAACTTTTGTGGCACATATTTAAGGAGGTATCACAAAGTACCAACACTTCTAAAAGAATTGTAGTCACTATATATGCAAAAAGAAAATTGCAGAAGAATCAAAATTTCAGTTAATTCAATACTAAATATGTCTCATTTGCTTAATGTATATTGAAAAGAAAATTAAAGCGCTTTATATCACTGCAACAACTTGGGAAAAAAGTCACTAGTGTCACTATCCTATGATTTTGAAGCATGCCCCAAGCGCCGTCCAATTATCCTAGTCAGCTAATATATTCTAGCCACATAACGCAAAACGTTGTTCGAGCTAGCTGTCTTTGTCAATCTCAATGGGCGTTTTGGTTAGTGTCTAAAGCGAAAATTGAGTCCTTTCTGTTTTCTTTTTCCCAAAACAGTTCATTTCGAAATTCTCATCAACAAGCTCTAGTATATGTACAGTACAATTTGCTAGGTAGTAGTTTTTTATTTGTTTCGATCTCCCGTACACTTTTCTATAGGTAATGGATCTACTGGTTTACATGTTCCCTTGCCACAACACTAAATAAAATGTTTACAAGCGTACTCAATATTACTGTACATTCTGATCACAATCGTCAAATGAGTTGACTTCAGAATTCCCAGAAAAAAATGTGTGACTTCAGAATTTAGTAGATTTGAGGAAAAACATTCACGCCCGGTCACTCTGTCCCGGGGCGACGCGGGAGGCGAACAAGCTGCACCGCCCCCGCCCTTCTTCTCCCCTCCAAAGCCTCACCGCCGCCCGAGCCGCCGCCGGCAAAGCTAGGCGGCTGCAAGGACAGCAGCGGCGGGGCTCTCTCTCTCGCTCGCGGTCAAGACGATCGGGACACCAGCAAGACTGGAGCTTAGGGTATGGTGCCGGCACCGAGGAGAAGCGACCGACGGTCTGACGGCGTCCAGATCCAGTGCCATGGAGCCTGGATCTGGTTCCCCATGGCTGGATCTGATGCTCCCGGCGGCGGAGAGCTCAGCGACGGGCGGTGGCGACCTGGCAGGCCCGGGAGGGGGGGGGGGGGTTCGGCGGCGTGTCAGGGGTGGCGGTGACATGGAGCGCTCGGCGGCGGTGTTTGGCGACGGGTCAGGGGCGGCGACGACCTAGTGGGTGGTGCGGCCGGAGCTGGCTCCCCTAGCCACGCACGGAGGTGCGGCTGACGATGTGAGGCAGTGGGGTGCCGCCAAAGCCGGTGGTGGCGCTGGCGGTGTAGTAGTTGGCGGTGATGGTGGTGGCGACGCCTCTGGTCAGATCTGGACGACGCGGAGGTCATGGCTGGCGGCGGCTGCCGACGGTGGCAGTGACGGCGGCGGCTGGATGCTGCTGGCGGTCGGCGAGGCAGCAGCCGTGGTGGCGGCTGCTGTGGCTGACGGCGGCGGCGGTTCGCTGCTGCTGGAAGATGGCGATGTAGCCGCCGTGGTGGTGGCGGCGGTGGCAGCTGGTGACGGTGGCGGATGCGGAGGCGGGAGCGTCGGGCGGTGGAGATCGAGGCATTGACGGCCATGGGTGGATAGCCGGGGAGGTGTGGCAGACGACCGCATTTGGCTGGCGTGGGAGTAGCAGGAGGAGTGCTCGTAGGCCAGATCGGCGCGTAGAGGCGCGGCCGGTGGCAGCGGAGGCCGGCACGACGCGAGGAGGCGCGGCCGGCGGCGAGAGGCCGGCTTGGCGCGAGGAGGCGCGGGCAGCGGCGGAGGAGGCCAGCATGGCGCGACGAGGCGCGACCGGCAGTGACGGAAGCGGGCAAGGTGCGAGGTGGAGGAACTGCCGGTGGGTGCGGTGTGGTCTGCGGCGCACTAAGGCTAGCCGGCGGGGGGTATCGGTGCAGTGGTCCCACATGTCAGCAGAAGTTGTACGGTGGTGGAGCTTTGGGGCGCCAGTCGTGGACTCGGAGGTGGTGAGCGGCGGGTGAAAACCCAGCCCGGCATGCTCGAAGCATCATTGCCCTCGTGAGGGCGTTGTCGTGCCGACTCATCCCTCATGTGTGGATGCCGGGCGAAAGCCTAGTCTCGGTCCTCTCTGTGATCTTGACAGACGGTGGCGACGGTTTTTTCGTCGCTTCTCTCCTTGGTGACATCGTTTACGCATCCCCTAGCCGAAATCCTCCAACCAATTGGTGCAAGCTCACTCTAGATTTCATCCTCTTGTGGCGGTGTCCTAGTCTCTACAAGTTGGCCACGTCGGAGGGCCTAGGGGGGGAGAGAAGTTGCATTCTTTTCTCTCACCCTCTCTCCCTAACTCTTAAGATTTGGATAGAGCGAGACCTTGTGTTGATTGTGAGGGTTGGGTTTTTGGATGATCTCGGCTGTGTTTCTTTGTTGGCCTAGCGGCGGTCAGTCACGATTAGCGTCGGGCTGGTGCTAGCCTTCTTCTGGTTTTGTGTGTTGGCGCTGTCGGTTTGTGGTGGTGATATACTTTTTTTCCTTTTCCTGGTTACGACCTTCCAGGGTTGTAATTTTGTAATTTTTCTCCTGCTCTATCAATAGAACTTCGCACCGTCTTGTGCGAGTCGTTAAAAAAAAGATTTTAGTAGATTGACAATTACTGTGGCGAATAAGGGGCAGATTCATCTTGTGTTTGCACTCAATGTCCTAATGAAATCTGTGATTCTCTATTACAAGGATTATGCAAATACAAATTTAAATAATTAAATAATGCAGAATCCAAATTAATATTTCTAATCCTCTTGTGCTTGACAATGCAACATATCCACAAATATGCATTCTGTCTCAAATTATGCATTAACTAAACAGTGATAATGTGAGTAAATGTTCTGTATTTGGTGGTAGAAAAATATGTAATATGCATGTAGAGATCATGACGCAGCCTCCATGAATGTCTGAGATGTATAGACCTAGCCTCTCCTTGTCTCATATATACCCCAGCATCAGAAAGTCCATTAACAACATCATATTAATTTCTTCTTTTGTTAGAAATTACATTAGTTAATGCAAATATATAGAAGGAGAAACATATATATGCATCCACATATATATATAAGTACTTAAAGATTGTGAAAAATATCAGTGTTATGAAATTGGACAGTGGAATCTATAGACCATGAAAGTATCAAAGTGTGTCATGCCTTGATTTTCTACTACAAATATTGCAACAAAAGAAAAAAAAATGAACCCATGGTTTTGTGCTAAGTACGTATTACCTATCTAAGTTAGTTTGTAGAGTAATATAGTTAGGTTTGAACGAAAGGTTTAAGCAATTATCTTGAATAGCTCATATTTTCTCTTATCTGCCACCGCATAGCAAAATCTGTTCTTCTATATGCGAAGTCCAGAAATTAATAAAAAAATGCTTTAGATTATCCTTTTGTGTGTATTAATTTAATTTGTGTATTGATTTTGTAATTAGGAATATCACATACATGATACATGCAGTATCACAAAAAGAAAAAAAATTCGAATATGACCCTGTGTGTGTGTGTATGTGATTTAGTATAAGATCAAAATAATTTACATTTGCGACCAAACGTTATATCGGATATATTAGTTTAATTACAATAAATAGTTTTTATAAATCTTACCCCTTCAATATTCCTAGTTGTTATTTGGCCTTTAACACAATAAATGGAAATATTTCCATGATCATTCATCAGTGTTATTTTCACAATAGATGACGAATTGAAATAACTTAATAATAGAGAATCACAATTTCTATTGGCTAGCTTGATTGGTACGATCGAATAAGCCGGCCCCTCATCAGATTAGATTTTACATTAATTGAAATTGTCACTGTCATTCAATCTCTCTCATGAGCATGTAGCAGGCAATATCATGAATTCAATACTAGGTTCGATCCCAAATTGAGCTGACGCCGCCATCTAACAAAGAAAGAAAAGTGAAGTGGGACAAGAATGGACAATATCTGAGAAACACACACATAATCATATGGAAATATAAATAATCAATACAGCAAACAACATACTATTAATTAATTGTGACAAAACTAATTATTTATTGTCACTGCATAACGCATGGATGATTGATTCGTGCCACGGAATCAGTCAAGCAATGGCTCCAAACCACAAAGTACAAGACTCCAAAGCTAGCTACACACGTGCTCATGGCTCTCGTATAATTAAATAACTAAACACTCACTTGCAATTAAACCAGCCACGCTTATTTTAATATATATCACACACACCCGATCGATCGCACACGTACGTATATACGCATACGTTATACCTGTACAGAATTACAAATCATATGATATACAATCATTCATTACCTGAATTGAGATTCATACAATACACACATACGATTGTAGGCGCCATGGCGGCGTGTCTGGCCTGAGCCCGGAGTCGAGGAAGGTCATATCGATGATGATCAAAGCATAGACATCGATGCGATCATGGCGGGGAAGCAGTGGTGGCGGCGTCACGGACCTCGAAGACGTTGCGGGTCTTGACGACGACGTCGTACATGTGGACGAGCTTGAGGCGGGAGAAGTCGCGGGGCACGGAGATGAGGTGGACGGTGGAGCGCTGGTGGAACTGGAGGAGGCACGGGTCGTTGAGGTACCTCTCCCACCCGAGCTCCCGCAGCCGCCTCTCCAGAACCTCGTAGCTCGTCACCACCTCGCTGCTCGGCACGTGCACAAGCACCTTCCCTCCCCCACCTCCACCACCGACACCGCGCCCTCTCGACGGCGCCTCGCTATCTGCCCTCCTCACCATCCCATCCTCAAACACCCACACCCCTGCCATATATATAATATATATATGTTTTTTTTCAATTCTTCTTTGCTTGATCACAGCTAGAAGCTTTGGAGCTCAGCAATGGTGGTGGTGCAAGGAGAAGGGAGAGGTAGTGGCTAGCTTATATACAGTGGCGACGAAGAAGACGGCTGCTACTGTTCGGATTCGTGTCCAGGGCGATCGGCTAAGGTGGGGCCCAGCGGGTGGTGTCATTGGGAATGGGTAGTGTGGGGCCCGGGGAATCACAGCGCCTCCAACCATAGAACATCGGTGGAACATTCCAAGAGAAGGGGAGCCTTGGGCCATCCGATCAGCGAGCCGACGGCGCTGGAGATGCCCTCGTGTCAGAGAAGAAAAAAAAAGTCGAGGATGATGAGCTTGACCTTTCGTCTGGTCAGAAGGAGGGGTGCAAAAAGGTGGCTAAAAGTGGAGCAATTAGCTAATTAATTAATTAACTGTTAGTTTTAGGTCACTCCTATCTCATGTGATTAAGGGAAATTCACTGTGTATGTACAGCAAATAGGCTGCAGTTTTTTTCAGTGATATTGTTTACTGGCCATAGTTCACAAAAATGTTATTTTGAATTGAAGTTTGAAATTATAAACGCCTTTTTCAAGTGATTAGGTACTTTTGTGCAATGTCTGTATAATCCTTGTAATTATTGGTGTGATATATCAGAACTAATTCCTAGAAATTAAGCTATGCGTATAAGATCTTGCTTTGTGTTAACGATTTTTCATTACTTCTTAATACGATTAAAACGGATTAGAGAGACAAGCCTAGAGCTGTTAGGGCTTGAGCATATAGGATTGCACTCTATCCCTAACTGGTCATGGTCCTCTTGATGCCACTTTCCCTAAACCATAAAAGGATGAGGTACCAGTTCAGCTGTGGAGGAGGTTGTGGAGATGAATTCTCATAATCCACAAGTAATTAAAATTGGTAAAAATTTGCGTGGGGATAGGTACCATTTCATCTTTTTTTAATGAACACCATTTCATTCTTATTATTGTGTTGTTCTATATATGGATGGTTGGGTTGAAGTTACATTTGCAATTAATATATTAGTCAAATCACTTCACAATCCAACTCAATTTATTTATAATAGTAGTTTGTTTGGGAGGTGATACATATATAGGTCATTCAATATAATCTAAGGTATTTTAATTTGTTTGAAGCAATCTAGAGGGCCGGCCCATTCAGCTCTACTTTTCATATATAGGTCATTCAATATAATCTAAGATAGTCTAAATAAGTTTTCCGAAAGGGCAAATATGTCAAAATTTTCATATCATTTAACCTCTGAAATCTACACACACAAAGAAACAGTAAAAAATAAAATTATTACCTTCATTTTTTAATAGATAACACGATTGACTTTTAAAATTATTACCTTCATAATTAAAGTTTCTTTAATGATAAGACAGTTCAAAACAAAATAAATCAAATTTATTTTTTTTAATACGACATATGGTCAAACGTCATGTCCAAAGTCAACGGTATCATCTATTAAAAACCGGAGAGAGTATTTAATGTCAGGTGAATTTGAATATTTATTTTCTAAAATTGGTGGTCCGGTACCATGCATGATGCCCCTTTTCATTGTCCTCTTGCAAAACCACATCAAACTAACAATTTGATGATGGTGTGGATGAATTTTAATTTAGCACTTTGGTTTTGCTAATTTCACTAGTACGGTAACCTCCATAGTTGCCGGTTGGGAACTGGCCTTAGGTGTCGGTTTCCCAACCGACACCGATATATTGGCACCTATGTCCGGTATATGTGCCAGTTTTGGAATCGACACCGATAGAGATTATACGTGCCGGTTCTTACCCCACAACCGAAACCTGTAGTATTCAATGTATAAAAAAAAGGAGAAAATCTATTCTATACCACTGAGTTTGTTCGAGTTCAACAATTTACCATTGACATTGTCCCTTTTTATAATATACCGGCGATTTTATCAATTGTTCTATAATACAACATTGGGTTGAGCCTTCTTTCCAAAAATACCCAAAATAACCTTTATCTCACTAGAAGTTTCAAAAAAACATAAAAACTTTTATGTGGCCTCCTTACACAACATGGAAATTTGTATAGAACTTTTATGTGGCCAACATAGGAAGATGCGCGTCTGGATCCTCACCGCGATGGTCGCCACCGTGTTCGCCATCTTCATCACGCTCGCCGTTGCCCTCATCTCCCGCCGCGGCAGACGGCGGCGGTGGAGTGGGGGCGGCGGCGAGGGGAAGAGGAGCTCGCCGCCTCCTCATCCCCCACCGCCGCCGCAGCCTCCGCGTCACCCGCCGCCGCCGCCGACCCGTGAGAGAGAGAGAGGAAGAGTGAGAGAGAAGAGAGAGGAATAGTGGAAAAGAAGTATGACAGGTGGGTCCCACATTTTTTTATAAATAGAATGCTGACTGGACTGCCACGCGTACGCCACGTAGACCAAAACCACTGCGGATTGGGTCGAGGGGGGTAATTTATCCGGTTTGCATAGTTGGGGGTGAAGAATGTCTGGTTTTGTGGTTTAGAGGGGTAATTTGGTCGACCGCGATTGTTGGGGGGGGGGGTAATTCGTACTTTTTCCTTTCTTTTAACATATCTGTGTTATCTCATTCGTGACTAACTACACCATCAATTCCTTACCATGTAGCAACCATTACATATGTTTCATTATCAACCCAAAGCACGGCTCCGTGGCAGTCCTTGACCCCCTTGATTATAATCACAAGACATACAAACAATTTCCAACAATCTGTTATTCTGATACTATTGCATGTCTAATTATTAATGCATTACAATTAAATCTCCTCCTTAATACGAAACGGTAAAAAATCCATACTGTGCATACAACTACTACAAGAAGGGTGGAGAGCGGATTCAAACAAGGGAGAAGCTGCTAGTACATACATATTGGCCGGTAATAGTCTACACAGTTTATGTATTCCAATTATTTTACTAATTAGAAAATTTAACTTTTTCCTTCTATGATATGTCATCAAGTATCACAAGCAACCTAGAGGCTCGGTCCTCTGTGGGTATTACTCATGTGAATTCCTCAGGGTTAATGGGAGATACAGGGTTAACGCAGAGGATGTAAGTCTCTCGACTCAACGTATAAGTGCATTGGAGAACTGCACATCTATAACCTACTAATATATATATTGTGCTTCTTTCATGCATGCAGCTTCCTAGAATAGAACATCGAATAAGCATTGACGATACAACTATTACAAATGTGCAGCGCGATCTCTGTTACTTCATCCACCGTGAGTGTTTTCATGTCAAAGGACGGTTCTTCGACCTAGAGAGTATCCTGGATACAAGCGAAGAATACAAGAATCTTCCGGAGTGGAACAACACGATGCGATAATGCAACTAGATAGTGTATTCGAAGTGACAATGTTATAAATATTGTAACATCTTGACGACACTTTTCACTTATACAATATATTTATATTTGTCAGTATCAAATGTTTTTCTAGTTACTAATATTTTTTATGCATAAATTAATTAATTAATTGGAACATTATTTATCACAAATTATTATTGTAAAATTTTTTTTTCAAATTCTTGTACCTAATTAAATAGGCGGCTCTGTCAAATTTTCTTAGACGCACTGGTCCTATCTTCGCAGGCGGACGCCTTTAGCTCTAGTCCGCCTGGGAAAATAATCTTCCCAGGCGGACCTCCCGACCGTGTTGATCTTCGCAGGTGTTGGGGTCCAGGTGGAGCGGGCATCTGCCTGGGAAGGCCATTTTCCCCCGCCTGGGAAAATGGTTTTTCTAGTAGTGATAGTTAAAAAAGGTGCACATGCTTTGGAAAGTGACTTGAGTTTGGACTTGCGAATAATAGAACAAGATAAGTTGATAAATGGGACCATATATGTTCCGCTCACATCCTGTTGCAGCTTGTGCACACTGATAGGCGACTAGCTAATTGGCGCCGGTGTTTTTGGCCCACAACTAAACTGAAGGATTCTATAGCTAGGAGTCCAGGACTAATATGCATGCAAGTGGTGAATGGGATAGAGGAATATATATTGTTCTGCCAAGCATATGAACAGATATCACCTTTGTTTTTCGAAAACAAAATTAAAGAACTTTGTTTGAAATTGTTTACCATACATAACTAAGAAATAAGTAGTGTGCACGAGAGGGATATGCTAGGGACTGTGCACGACGTTGATTTGTCCTAAACTCAGTAGGGGCAAGTAAGATGTCTCTAACAGTGTAGAGGCAAGAGACAACGAGTAAGACATGAATGAAAAATGATAAATAAGAGATAGATGTAGGGGTAATAGATTAATTTTAACGATTTATGGATGGTTCAAACATTTCTGGAACTTCGTTAATTAAACAGAGCCTAATTAATGCATTTCCTATTAGGCTGTGATGTATTAGACTCGAAAAACCCAGGCCTCTAAGCAAGTAAACACGAAAATACCTAAATTGTGATCAAATGTCTCACTATTTCGAATTAATACCTGCAGTCAGATAGCAGTTAATTGCCCATTCTGACCTCTGAACACACCAGCCTTTACACGAAGACTTTAACCCTTTCCAAATTTTCTTCAAATTTATTCCAAATCTAAAGTAAGGCCAAATTTGGTCGTCACACTAACTAGCAGAAGTTCAAATCAAGCTACCATATCCAGCAGTATATAATTAAAGAAGTTCATCTCTAGGAAAATAAAATATAATGAAACCCATCCTTAAGTTAGTTCTAAAATCATCTTTTTTGCAATGTCATTTTTTTTGGTGTTTTTCGTGCATTTTCATTCTTTCTGCCACAAATATCGTATAGCGTGATACATATAAACCAGATATCATCAAATAAAAAGATTTTTGCAGACAAGGCTCCCTAGTCCCAATAGGTTGCAGGCAGGTATTAACTGCTCCTGCATGAAAAAATTACTCCCCTCGGGATTGGTTATAGGGCCGCCTGCGAAATGCACTATCACGGACGGCCGCTTAAGACCATTGCAGGCCTCTGCGAAAATCGCCGTTGTCATCACAGGCCTAAAACCACGAATAGCAGGTTGACAACGGCGGCGGTAGACTATGGCAAGCACGATGACACTAGTGGTGGTGGT